GGAGATGACACCAGGTCAGCTATTCAATCGGAAGTTTTATTTTTGTGGAAAGGTTTCGAGCTGGAAATGTGGAAAAGAAATCAAAGTTTATGTTGGCTTCGAAAGCGGTCAGTATCTCTTTGAGTCATGACCCCCTAATATAAGACTAGGGCTGCCTTCACACTTTGCATCATCGCTTTGAGCATTTCGAGCGAATAGGGAAGTGTAGGAACCGATTTAACGTTCCGAGCGTCCAACTGCGTTTTCGCTGGCAGTTTTAAACTTTTGGCGGGCAGTCGCTGAAAACGCTGGCGTACGCTCAATACGCTGGATCGGTACCTATGTTTTCCTGGTCGTTGAAAACACTGGCGGACGCCCAAACCTGCCGCGAAGTATAATTGCGCTCTAACAAAAGACAGCAGTAAAAAAACTGCTGGTTTGGGGAAATAAGTGAAGCCTAACGTTGTCAACCCGCATCTGTTTTTGAGCATAGAAACTGCACGAATCTCTGCGTGCAGGTTCTCATGCACTTGTATACTGGTAGCTACTACTGTGTGCTAGGATGACCGCACTTGCTGCAGAATCCGTTTTCACAATAGGCAGTCTCACATCCGGTTTTTTTGTCTACCAACTTTTCTGCGAAGCTGGTACTTCCTTGTTCGCGATTTAGCTCGTCATACGTTAACTGACAATCTATCCTTCGCTGAACGATTCCTTCCCCATTCATTTGCAGCACTAGCAGTTTGGGTTCAGTTGTGAAAAAGTTGTACTCAGTTTGCATTTTCTCGCTCTCTGTTGAGGTATCCGGTGTGGAAACAAATTTTCAGAACTGTCCGCGTGGCACGGTTTCAGTTGACTAAACACTCCGCTCATACCTTCCCAAATAAGGACTTGTTTCGTTTTCTACGGCTTATAGTAGTACTTCGTTCAGGTCACTTGGACTAATAGTTGCCCGAGGCACCGCCATAACAGTCGTCGCTCCCTCTGATGGTATGGAACAAATCGACAACCCGTTTGCCCAGCAAGAAGATTAGCGGTACTTTTTTCTCCTTTTTTTTCTTTTCTTGAATTGTTTTTTCGCCGGTCTTCTCCCGTTGCTCATCGATTTGCTCGTGCGAGCGCACTAACGTCATCCACTCTTCCATGCGAAGCGCTAGAAGGTTTCCCTATGCTTGAAGGGCACGAAACACACAATCCGTTCAGAGCTCTCACGAAGAAGTTTGACTATCGCGTAGGTGATCGTCCGGTGTTTGCTTGACATCCCGTGGATTCTTGTCGGTGATCATTCTGGTCAAGTGATGACCTTGGAAGCGTGACGTGCTCGGCCCCGTAATCGTCGAAACCTCGGCAAATGCGGATGCGTCCATGATCTCCCATCTTCGGCGGAGTGCGGAGTTCCGAATTTCCTATCTCACGCATGACGCGGAGATTCCAAGCGAAGAGGTGAGCACGGAACCCGGTGTTCTTCGTTTTCTTCGCTACTACCTCGGTTCTTGAAAGCCCCCAAGCCGCTCGATTACTCTGCTCAGCTCTGGTGCTATGCTTTCACCATGCTGATTTCGCGACCGAGCTGCACATAGCTAGAGCATCCAGAGTTGTTCTCCAGTTGAGCGAGCATGGAGCATCGAAGTCAATGCACTTTTTGTTTCGTTATGCCAAAAATATTATTATGTGGAGCTCGATTGAAGTTGCCCTGACGTTTCGGCTACATCGTCGCCCTCAGAGGTCTACGCCTACCTCAAGGTTTGGATTTGCACACACTATGCCGCCTATACTTCGTCGATGACGAATTCTGGAGAATTGGCGGGAAATTTCTTAACGGGCGAGACGAACTTAACCACCGCACCCGTCCACTGCATGAGCGGAACCGAAAAATTCCCATAGAGTGCCGTGCAAGTTCAAATTGATGTCAAGGTTTCACGAAGAAAGAAGTGGACACACAGAAACCAATGCGTTCTTCATGAACATCGTCTTCCTCTGATTGAGCTGCAACCGACTTTTCAGTGCACAGTGTAGATCAGCCAGCATTCCTGCTTGCTCGATGTTTGGTGTTGTAAGCATGATGTGGTCAGCAACCAGTTTCTAAACTAACAGTTCTCTCTAAATAAAGTTCCTTGCCACTTCAAAATCGTCGGTCCACTCAACATTTTGAGCGGATGGCTACAAAACATTGTTTATCTTTCGTTCACTAAGTTCCCAGGGTTCAGTTTGACATGTTGAAAACAAGGGTCGGTGCATCGTTAGCAGTGGGAACCTAAATGTAATGTTCCGTCTTCCTTTGTCAATATTGTCATTGTTCTGCACCAGATGTCTTGTTAACACAAAAATTGGGGTTGTGATTGTGTCAAAGAAGCAACAGGACGTCCTTTGAGATTTATAAACTTGTTTTGATGATGTTGGGGTATATGACGGGTCCTCAGTGAAGGGTCATGTGTCTCGTATGTGAATCACATTAACTCTTGTACATCTGACCTGTCGCTTATCTGAATAGAACTATGCCCTCGGCAGTTCCCGCGATTGCAGTCGTGGGTGATAGAGTTCAAAATAGGAATTTGGTGCAGTAGCTAATGAAGGGGAAATGGTGAAAAACCGCCCGCAGTAGAAGCCTCTTCACTGCAATCAGTCGTAACAAACGCACGAGCATAAGATGGTCAAGTTCGAGCGCGATTTGCAAAAGGTGACGACACATTGACAGACGCGGAGCGCGGGAGAAGACCAGAAAGCGATGGTCAGGGGAGCGCAATGACATTATCACGACGGGCAACGTCGGCCTACTAGACGCCCGTGGGCCTAAACCTGAGCTTCCTGCGCATTGCTTGCCATTTCATCTTTCAAATGATGTACTGCCTCTGCTGTTGCATCCTTGGTCACTCACTATACACGTTCAAGAGGTTTGAGCGCCACAATAACGATTTTTCAGTAGGGCGCAAGTGGCTCACAAAAGAATTTAGGCGTGAGGTTGAATGCATTGCGATAGTCGGCTGCGGACTCACACCATATTTGACGCGCTCTACCTGGAAAACAAACCCAGTTTTCCAAGAACAGGCCGGATCTTAATCAGGTTATTCTCTACGTGGGCAGATTTGGATGAAAGTTGGGTTCTAGAGGTAATTGACCTCCTGAACTTGAACATCGCACCCACTTGGCCTGACCTAGGGTATTTTGGCGCTGGCTGAAGTAACCTAGGTTACTAAATCCGCTGAAAACTTGTGTACGAAGACCATTTAACATCTTGATTGCATATATCACATTCATTTTTGGCGCTGGCGCTGATGGAAGACGCTGTGATTATCTGCGCTCTGGTATTGCTGGCCTGACCTAAAGGAAAACACTCTTTCTCACAGGCTCAGCCTTAGAAAAGGGTTAAATGGTGCTGGAGTGAATGTCATATTCGTGATCAGGGCATCAAACAACCCCATTGTGCACGTTTTTATCAATTTTGATGAAAAAGGGTGTGGCTCCAAGTCAGCGCCAATGGCGTCAGGGAGGAAAACTAATTCGGTAATCGTGATCAGGACATCAAATAACCATACCATGCAAATTTACAATTTTGCTGAGAAAGGTGGCGGCGCCAAACTGGCGCCAACTCAGCGCCCAAAATGAGTGCTATATTCGTGATTGGGACACCGAACTATCTCTATGGACTTTTTGGGGTAGTAATAGTTGAATAGTGCCATTTAATGGTTTTCGCGTTTCCAGCAACAATAGTTGAGCCTGATTTCAACTTCACGCATTCGAACTTCTGGTTACCAGGACGATTGGTGCTCTGATTACCAGTGGAATAGGATTAGACTATAGCATAGGAAAAAAATCATGGAAAACCTTAGTTTCGGAACAGAACGAAAACTGTCATTCTTCCTCTCAGCTCAATAACAATTTTTTGACGAAAAAGGTCTGCTTTTTTTCCCCAACAATAGTTTAGTTCGACTTCCTGCAGTGCATTATACCTGAAATAGTTCACGCTTCTGTTACAGCAGCGCAAGGCATATGTCGGCAAATCGGCTGCGACCGCTTTTTCAGGTAACGCGCGTCGAATATATGGTGCGAGTCCGTGGTCGACTACTGCAATGCACTGAACCTCACGCCTAAATTCTTTTGTGAGCCACTTGCGCCCTACTGAATAATCGTTATTGTGTTTGAGCTTTAGTTCATCGCGGACAGAAAGTGAATTAAGAACCAGAGAAATGACAACATTTGCTTGCTTCGTCCTGGACTCTGTTCTCCTGGAGAATTTTGATCATGAAATTGCAAGGATATTCAACATGAGGAAAGCAAGCTTGCTGAAAAACACTTCGAAAACGCACTGGGTTTGCTTTGTCCTAAAAGCTCGCCTAGAATTTGTCCGAGGGTATTAGTTCATTTTCAGTGGCGATTTAATCATTTATATGATCTCAGAACCATCCGTTTATATTGCAATCTCAGAACCACGGGATGGAAAAAGGCTTAATGCGTTACATCAAGTCAAAAAAGGCTTCAAGGCTTGAGGCGGTCCTTTCTGTGGTGTGGTAGAAAGGTTTATATTGGCAGGAGCGTACCCTTTCTGTTCAAAAGCGAGAACGGGCTAGAAGGTATGATACCTGGGTGAGCTCTCCATAATCCACCCAAGCTATTCTCAATGTGGAGTACTTGCGTCGAAATCGAGGTCCCGATCGAAACAGCGAAACACGCACTCAGTGGTAGAGAACAACTAGAAGTGAGAGAGCGCAGGCAGGTAGCGCGTTCGGCTCTGGTTAGGCGTGTGACGGGCCGTACAGGAGCGCGGGCTGTGTTTGGAGAGGGCACCCAGGTATACCTACCCTCCCAGGCACATCATCTGGGGATCCCCAAACAAGGGGAGAGCGTATTTGACAGTCGAAGTGGGAGGTCGTAATGAGAGGGGCAGTTATATCGAACAGCGCAGTGTCAGTGTGCTGTGTCCTGTATAGCTGTGAACCCGGATATGTATAAAAAATAGTACAAAAATCCAATAAATTGAAGTCATTCAAAATTAACTAGAAATATTAATAAGTTGACATAATAAGTCACCGCTGAGCGAGCCTTGTTTTTATGTCTATAATGTGAAGTATTGCAGTGATGGATTCAAATCGAGATGATAATGCGGGTTCCTGGTCCTTAACTACCATCACTACGAGCTCGTCTCCTCCGTCCGTCTGTCCTCTGCGATCCTACGAAGACTGATATTTAATAAAGAAACCTCTTTGTCATGTGCAGATACAGAGACGTTCATAACTTGCCCCCATTTTTGGCCATTCCTCGTCAGACTTCGCGTATCGTCACACTGATAACAGCTCTCAATTATGGCATGATTACGCTTCATGGGGTCTTGTTTTTTTGGCGTGACACACCGCTTCTATTTTGGTGTGGAACCGACAAGCACGAATAGGAACGTCAATGAGCCCAGGTCAACAGTGAGAATAGATAAGGAAATGAACAGATTCATTTGCAATGACTGAAGGCCTTTGAGGCCAAATAAGGTACAGGAAAAGCGTTAAGAGCATTCCTAAGCACACATCGAAGGGCAGTTGAGTATTGGATCCTCCTAATACTGCACACAGACCTTGCAAGCCTTTGCAGTGGTCGACTAGATCGCGCGAGATCGGTTAGCTCGAGAGTTTGGATCGCGAAGTCAGAACGCGGTCTTTTCCGAGTTGCAGTATTGCGCAGAACTGGCAGACCATTTCTTACCACGTTCACTTCAGCCAATCGCTCGAGAGTGGAACTCTCGAGCGATTGGTGACTTCGCGAAGTCTGAACGAGGTCTTTGCCAGCCTCACCATCAGGACACAAAGCACAAGCCATTGCGAGATTTAAAAAGAGCCGATTTGCCGCAGCAGCTACATTGGCTAGACTTCTCCTTGTGCGAATTTCGTCCCACTGAGCGTCATCTCGCATGCAGCGCCTGTTTATCTACAACCGTCGCGACTGGGAAGCAACGCTCCATAAACCCATGCATGCAGTTTATATCATAGAGATCAGTCGGGCAGTTTCAGGAGGGATGGCCGAAGGAGGCAGGCTCATTTCGCCCCCCCCCCCCCCGTGCATCGCCCCAAGTGATTACGACGATGTCATACATTCTGTGGAAAATTCCCGAACTGGGTGAACGTGCAGCACACGTACGCATGAGAATTGATCTGGATAGCGGGGCACGTCCTACCGTTGGAGAAAATTCTACAAAATACAATTTCCTCGATTTCCCTCTTTCTCCATATGTCATCCTACCTGAAATTTCCTGAATTTGCCCAAATTCTTACCTACTTTTCCTTTTTCTCAAACATTCCTCCACTTCCCCTCAAAAAAAATCGGTCGACAGGGAGAAGTGTATATAGCACTGGAGACTCCACGACTCCAAAGAATGTAAGCCAAACCTTAGGTAAGAATCCAAGGCCATATCATTTGACGAAGTGGCGAAATCTCCGCATTCGCAAAGTATGGTCGCAGCCCTAGCAAATTGACCGAAAAAGGTGGGGTCGGGACGAAATCTACGCTAATGGTGAACCACGTTCTGAATTCCTATTTGAATTTTTGTTATAGGATACAAACCCACAAGGGTACTGGGCTGCGTTCATATTTGCAAAGCATAGTCTTTGATCTAACGAACACCGGCGTCTATCAGTGTCCACCAGCGTCTCGAAACACTAGGAAAGTATAGGTATCGATCTGCGAACGCCGGCGTCCACCAGCGTACAGCAGGTTTTCACGGGCATTTTTGCTCAAATTCAAAAGTGCCCACGAACTCTGATGTACCTTGTGGGCGCCGGCGTTCACTAAATCGATACCTATAGTTTCCTAATCGCATGTGGACGCTGACGCGAAATATGTGCGCTGCCTGAAAACTTCGTATGCCCTGATGTGGCAAGGCTGTCGGCTCTCCACGTACATCACAAGGTTTCGCGACATGAGCATGCAAAAAAAGTTGATAAATTACCTGGTGGATCGTACCAGATGGAAAAAGCCGCTTAAAGCCTCTCACCACTCACCATGGGACACTAATTAGAGCGGTAACTATGCATTAATGATTTCCTATTTACTGCTCACAATAATGTAATGAAGGGTACCAAATTGTCTGTCAGCAATCAAATCAAATTCTAACAACATGCAAGTTTTCTAGAATATGTATTGAACGTTGCGATAGACAGTAAAATGAATATTTCGCATGATGAAAACTTCAGGAAAACTTGGGTGGCAAAATGCGAATAGCTGGAGCACACATTAAGGTGGAGTAAACTCTACGAAGTTGACTATACATAAAGTGTTGAAAGAAAAAACACTGAGGCGAATATGCTCACTATGTACAATTCATTTGAAGACAATGTTGTTTCAATGGCTATGTACAACTAATTACAAATGAAGCAACAGCATGTGCTCAGTTAGTGCCGCCAAGATGGAATTTGTAAATAAGCGTAAATCATTCTAACGTATGATATTTGTCAGTTGCAATCGCCGACAAAAATAACCTGAGTTGCAGAAAGAGGAGGTATGGAAAATCCAAACGCCGGCTGGCTGGTGTACACAACATAGAGGAATCCGTCTTGATCTCTATCCGTTTGGTAAAGCTGAGACATGGTCATGGAATTAGAGACAACAGATTTCTCATTGACTAGAAGGAAGAAGGCTTGTTCCGGATGCAGCTGCAGTCTGAAGATCTAAGAATTAATCATATAATATCAATGACCGTAGATCGTAGGTTTTCCTTTCGAACATTATAATGGAAGAAGTAGCACTGCTAAAATGTAGCTCCAAGGCCGCGTTCATAGCTTGCGACCATGAAGAAATGAAGAAATGCGGAATCTGCGGAAATGACGAAAAGCATTATATACATATCGATTTGAAGAAATGCGAAACTGCAGAAGTGCGGAATCTGCAGAAATGACGAAAAGGATTAGATACGTATCGATTTTCCAATTCGCAATTTCGGCATTTCTTCAAATCGATACGTATCTAATGCTTTTCGTCATTTCTGCAGATTCCGCACTTCTGCAGTTTCGGCATTTCTTCAAATCGATACGTATGTAATGCTTTTCGTCATTTCCGCAGATTCCGCATTTCTTCATTTCTGCATTTCTGCAGATTCCGCACTTCTGCAGTTTCGGCATTTCTTCAAATCGATACGTATGTAATGCTTTTCGTCATTTCCGCAGATTCCGCATTTCTTCATTTCTGCATTTCTGCAGATTCC